CCGAACGTATCTCGGCCTATCAGCCCACCAGGACCCTTAGATCTTCGGGAGAGGCCCTTCTCTCCATCCCGCCTGCTTCACAGGTGCGGCTGGCGGGAACGAGAGATAGGGCCTTTTCTGTGGTGGCCCCGCGGCTTTGGAATGCCCTCCCTATAGAGATAAGATCAGCCTCTTCGCTGATGGCATTTCGGAAAAAACTAAAGACATGGATGTTTGAACAGGCATTCGGCTAATCCGATGCGATGAAGTTTTTGACCAAGGACTGGTAATCACGGACAACGATATTGGATCATGATTTTAAGTTAAGAGATGCATTGGTCTGTATTGGTGGCCCAATACTGTGTTATTGTATATGTATGTGTTTTATATTTTTAATCGGAATATTGTTGTTTTTAATGTTGTAAACCGCAATGAGTCGCCGTTTTAGGCGGAGATATTAGCGGTATACAAGTGTACTAAATAAATAAATAAATAAATAAATAAATAAATAAACTGGCACTTGATGGCTTTCTGCCTGGAGTTCCCCTGTTTCTGTGTGGTATTCCTTACTCACAGTCTTGATTCCGGTGTTTTTAAATACTGGTAGCCAGATTGTGTTCATACTTCTCTGAGTTTTTATGTAGGTCTCCATCTCTCTCTCTGTGTAGGGTTTCTGATCTGGTTTGTGGATGACAAGGGCATCTAGACATGGCAGTCTTCCTTCACTTTCTTTTTCCGTGGTGAATTGGATGTTTGTTGTCACTTTTTATTGTTATTTTAAAGCTAATTGTATTGTTTTAATCTACTTCTGTAAACCGCTCCGAGCCAAATTGGGAGTGGCGGTATACAAGTCAAATAAATAAATAAATAAATAAAGTTTGGGTGGATGCTGTTGAGGAGGTCCAGGACCTTGTTTTAAGTTCTTCTTCTCCGTGGCTCCAAATGGCGAAGGTGTCATCCACATATCTGAACCGTTCAGTGGTCTTTTTTGGTGCTGTTTCCAGGGCTTGTTTCTCAAAGTGTTCCATGTAGAAATTTGCCACGAAATTTGCTTAGAGGGCTGACCCCACTGGAAGTGGCTTGTGATGGGGCAGTGTTGAGACAGGGCTGTGATGTCTTCTGGGAAATTCCGGATGATGAGGGCGGTGGTGTCTGCTAATAGAGGCCTTGATGAATAGTGAAACCACATCAAAGCTGATTGGTTTGTCATTGGCATTGAATTTGAGATTGCTGACTTTTTCTATGAGTCCCTAATGTAGTGTGTGGTGAGCCCAATATGGGTTTGTAGTTGTGCAGCCCGAAATTTTGCCAGATCGTATGTTGGGGATCCATTGGTGCTCACGGTGTACTAGGTCGTTTAGATTTTTGGGAATGTGCACCCCCAAATACTTCAACTTCTCACCCAGTTTTATCTCCAGGATGGATTGTAATCCTTTAATTCTTTCCAAGTAAGATTTTTGTGTAGGATTTCTCATTTTCAATGTTTATGGCCAACCCTGATGGCTTTTCAAGTTTCTTTGTAATGTTACTTCCTTCCTTTACAGAATCATCTGGTGCCCCAAGTAGAACAATTGTGTTGCCCGCATATAAATTTTCATCAGCATTGAGGCTCCGTCAGACGGTGTTCAGCAAAAAATCAACCAAGATGACAAAAATGGGCGTGGCCAGGCTATAAAAGGGTGGGGCATGGGGTAGTGCAAAACAGAGACCATAGTACTACCTGGCGACATCCGACTGGGCATTTATAACTAGGGACCAATGGTTCTCAAATTCTTGCAGGAACACCCAAGTTTTTGAGTCCCTGTGAAAGGAGGACAGTGTGGGGCCCACACTGGACAGAAGGTCATGGGGGACCTTGTCAAAGAAGGCCTTCCTGAAATTCAGGTACGCTACATCCACGGCATTCCCCGCATCTACCCAGCTTGTAACTCTATCGAAAAAAGAGTTCAGATGAGTCTGGCATGACTTGTTTTTGATAAATCCATGTTGACTATTAGCGATGACCGCATTTGTTTCTAAGTGTTTGCAGACCACTTCCTTAACTATCTTTTCCAGAATCTTGCCCGGTATCCACGTGAGGCTGACCGGACATCTACATCTACAAACTGGCTCATGGAGGGAGATACGTTTTCACAGGTAAGTTGGACCGGAGCCAACAAATTGGATCTGGATCTGTTTGCTCTTGTTTATGAATTTGTGCCCGCCTTCATTGGTTTGTGCAGGGAGGTGACCCATTGTCAGACTGTAAGATCTTTATAGCAATATTAAATAACCACTCACAAGCCCTTTTGCTTTGAAATGGATATATTGCTTGTATCTCTGCAGCAAAGAAAGACACTACTGACTTTTTCAGAACCACCACTTCCTTTGATACACCTTTCCTGTCCACCTCCCCCAAGTTACAAGGGGTCCACTGCCCTCTGCTGGCTTCAAAATGTCACAGAGAGAGAATTGATTCAGCCAGGATGATTCAGTCCGGATGTCATGGAGGGAATTTGTGATGTCTTCATGCCCTCAGAAATTGAGTCCTGACACCCATGACCTAAGTAATAACGAAATGAGCATTTAGCACATGCTGATTATTCACTAAAACACATTATCTAGAATGAATCCTTGCCTCTCTTCTGTTCCTATAACCACATTTGGGATCGACCCAATAAACTCAGTGTGACCCTCTAACACAGAAAGCGGTTCCCCTTCTTCCCTTCCTTCTTTCCTTCCTTCCTTCTCTCCTTTTTTGCCTTCATTCCCTCCTTTTCCTTCAAGCCACCCTTTTGTCCTTCTTTTCTTCCTTCCTTTCTCCTGTCCTTCCTTTATACCTTCCTTCCCTCATTCCTTCCTGCTTTCCTTCCTTTGAAGCACAGCAAGTTTTTGTTTCTGTTATGTTCACACAAAGCATCTGAATTCTTCCCTTGTTTTCATGAATCTGTGACTGCTTTGGCTGGTTTCCGTGTATGTCCTTGAGATACTTCATGCCTCTGTGTCTTGGATAATGTTGGAGGTAAAGGGGGTTTGGGGCTTCGTGTTTAACCTTTTGCTTCTCCTTTCTTGAGCAGGGCCCCATCCAGCCTCTGTTTAAAAGCCTCCAAAGGAGCCTCCACTACACTTTGAGGCAGAGAGTTCCAGTGCTGAACAACTCTTAACAGTCAAGAAGTTCTTCCTAATGTTGAGATGGAATCTCCTTTCCTGTAATTTGAACCCATTGCTGCGAGTAATCAGAAAGAGGAAAACAAGTGTCAGGTGTCCATATTAGAATTAAATGTGTATGACACTGTCAACATGGAGGAGAAAGCCTATACATGTATTAAATGTGGAAAGAGCTTTGCTCGGAATGAAAATCTACGTCTACATCAAAGGACTCACACTGGGGAGAAACCCTATAACTGCCTGGAGTGTGGGAAGAGCTTTGCTCACCGTGGAAGTCTACGTAAACATCAAAGGACTCATACTGGGGAGAAACCCTATACATGTCTGGAGTGTGGACAGAGCTTCACTGAGAGAAGAAATCTATGTAGCCATCAAAGAATTCACACTGGAGATAAACCCTATAAATGCTGGGAGTGTGGACAGAAGTTCAGTCATAGTTCAGGTCTAAAGAGGCATCAAAGGACTCACACTGGGGAGAAACCCTTTCAATGCATAGAGTGTGGACTGAGCTTCACTCAGAGTGGAAGTCTACATTCCCATCAAAGGACTCACACTGGGGAGAAACCCTATAAGTGCTTAGAGTGTGGACAGAGCTTCACTCAGAGTGGAAGTCTACATAAGCATCAAAGGACTCACACTGGAGATAAACCCTATAAATGCTGGGAGTGTGGACAGAGCTTCATTGAGAGTTCAGGTCTACAATCACATCAAAGGACTCACACTGGGGAGAAACCCTTTAAATGCCTGGAGTGTGGACAGAGCTTCACTCAGAGTGGAACTCTACATAAACATCAAAGGACTCACATTGGGGAGTAACCCAGTGTGACTACAAGTGTCTGGAGTAATCGTTCTCAACCTGTGCGTCCCAGGACGTTTTGTCCTTCAATTCCCAGAAGTCCTTACAGCTGGTAAACTGGCTGGGATGTCTGGGAGTTGTAGGCCAGACCACCTGGGGACCCACAGGTTGAGAACCACTGGTCTCGAGTGTGGATAGAGCTTCTCACAGACTTCATATCTACATCGACAAAGAATTCACATTGGAGGGAATTGTGATAATTGAGATCAGAAAGTCTAAGAAGTTCAAAAGCAACTCTTGGAGGTCAGAAATGCAAGCACAAAGTTGGGACATTTGATCAGATGTGGTGTATTGTAGACATTTTGAACTAAAATGCATTCCATCATGGAAACAATTAAAGTTAAACGAAAGCATCATTTTATTTCTTCAGAATGCTGAACGATTAAGTAGAAAGAAACCGTGGATAGTTACTGTGATGAGATTCCACAGTGCGAATTGACTCTGCGCAGAAAGGGAAAAGAATGGCCTTTGAAGATCTGCAAATTAGCAAACTGACAAACAATGTGGGCAAATGTCAGCTGTAAAGCATTGAACCAGTAAACGGCAACCGTTCAGCGGATACTGCCTGTTCAGTAAATAAACCTCTTTTCCTGTTTGAATAACAAAATGTCTCCGTGTGCCTCACACACATTCCGTGCATTACAGGAGGGAGCCTGTTGGAGTCAATTAAGTGGTGGCAGCACTCGTATATAAGCGTTACTAGAGACAAAGGGGCCAGTGCCCTCCCCATTTTGGGACCCCTGTAATGGGTGGGGTCCCCCAAGCTGCCAGGTCAGTCTCCCCTTGTTCGTCATAGGCTCCCTTTTGTATTTTTAGGATCTCTGTATACGTTGACCGTTTCCTCTGCCCCATTCTCTTCTTTGGGCGGCTTCCAAGGGCGAGACCCATAATGGAGTTTTTTTGGTAGAATTTCGATTTGTAGCTTTCCCATATCTTGAGTGGGGCTGATCGTAGAAAATGATTCCCAGGTTTTTTCTATTTTCTTTTTGTCGTACCACATGTACGCATGCCTTCCCGTTCTTAGGTCGAATCCCTCTAGTGACAGATTCTTATTATAGCTTTAGTTGGACCAATCTTTTATCCAAATGAGAGCGCAAGCTTCATTGTGCAATCTTTGTTGGGGAGTCCGGGTCTGGGTGCTCACCTCCGTGGCCTCATTGCGCCCTAGTCTCCAGGGCAGCAGAAAGGAAGCTTGCTCCCTCCTCCCTGTGACTTCCCCTCACATATTTATACACAGCCCTCTTCCTGTCTCCTCTCAGCCTTCTCTTCTGCAGGCTAAACAGGCCCAACTCTTTAGGCCGCTCCTCATAGGGATTGTTCCCCAGACCCTTGGTGCTTTGAGTCGCCCTCCTCTGGACACATTCCAGCTGAGGGTCAACATCTCCCTTCAATTGTGGTGCCCAGAATTGGACACAATATTCCAGGCGTGGTCTAACCAAGGTTGAATAGAGCATGGGGAGCATGACTGCCCATTGGTTTTTTTTGCTGCCGTATCACATTCCTGGCTCATGTTTAACTTGTTCACAAGGACCCCAAGATCTTTTTCACATGTCGAGCCAGGCCTCATCGTCCCCCATTCTGTTTCTTTGCATTTCCTTTTTTCTGCCTAAGTGGAGTCTCTTGCATTTGTTCCCGATGAACTTCTTTTTGTTAGTTTTGACCCATCATCTCTAATCTGTTGAGATCATTATGTGGGGGCAGTTTTTAAAAATATTAATATTACAAAATAAAAATAAAAACACTTTTAAATACCCGATTTTTCTTGAAAACGTTTCTCCCTGACGATTTCAACAGAACAGTATGTATTGATTTCTCCCTTTGGTACAAAGTTCTGTTTGAACTGCTTGTATGTACAGAACACGTAGGTCGGATTGGCCGGGCAAAGTAAACTTACAGACTTGAGAGATCAATTTAACTTTGTCAATATAACTTAGAACATCGAAGTTCATATAGTGAGAGAGCGTCATCTTCCGACCATGTAAATAGCAGGCATTTTCTGTTTTTTGGAAAAACCTTTCATATTGAGAAAGTAAGTTATGATAAAGTTTTAAAGCTAAATTGCTAAAGGAAATCAGCCTAAGACCTGTTCCTGTATTGACATTCAAGAGGTGGGTTTTTTTAAACATGATCTGCCCTATGACCCCAACTAAGGTCAAAATAGTACCTGTAATATTGAAACACCGCCTGGTGTCTTAATGTAATTAGAATAGAAACTATATAGAAGGTATGACTCTTTAGAAATATGAAGAATGAATTACTTAACCCGGGATACGGCAGATCTGCTGACCAGCATAAGGTCACAGGGGATATTAGAATATGACCTGAACACGCTGACTTTCCAGATGGTTATCAAGATGATTAAGATGTTTTTCTATGTATTAATAATTGATTAATGTCAACAAGTTATATAAGCAATTGTATATAAATATGTGCTCTGTTTAAATCATGGTGTGTGGAAACCCCTTGATTCAGCTGCCGGCTGAGGATTCCCACCCTTTTCCATTGGAACAGTAAAGTTTCGAACTTGGAACTTTTGCTGGAGCCTGGTGTCATTCTTCCACCCCATTTGCGTCCCAACGGACAGACAGAATTCTGCTCCTGTCTTCTGGAGTATTGCCTCTCACTCCCGAGGCAGGATCATCTGCAGACTTGATGATCCTGCCTTCTCACCCTTCATCTAAGAAGTCCTTAATGAAGATCCTGAGCAGGACCGGGTCAGGAGGGAGCCCTGCTGATGGCACTCTGCTCATCGCGTCTTTCCAGGAAGAGGAGGAGGAAGCCTTGGGGAGAATCACTCTCCGGGTCCGTTCACTTGACCAGTCACAGATCCACCTCACCGGTTTTGGCTTGTCCACACTGGACTAGTTTCTTTGCCAGGAGGTCATTGGGGACCTTGTTGAAGGGAGGAAGGCCTTACTGAAATCCAGGTACGCTCCATCCATGGCATTCCCCGCATCTACCCAGCTTGTAGCTCTATCGATAATTCCATGTTGACTCTTAGCGATGACCACATTCGTTTCTAAGTGTTTGCAGACCACTTCCTTAACGATCTTTTCCAGAATCTTGCCTGGTATCGACATGAGACTGACCGGACGGTAATTGTTTGGGTCATCCTTTTTTCCCTTCTTGAAGATTGGGACCACGTTGGCCCTCCTCCAATCTGCTGGAACTTCTCCCGTTCTCCAAGAACTCTCAAAGATGATTGCCAATGGTTCCGAAATGACTTCCACTAGTTCCTTGAATACTCTTGGGTGTAGTTGATCTGGCCCTGAAAGGGGACTTGAACTCGTTTAGAGCAGCCAGGTATTCCTGGACGACTTTTTTCCCAATTTGGGGTTGGGTGTCCTCTAATCCCTTACCCTCTCCATGTTGCTGGGGTTGAGGATGGCTGTCTTTTTGTGAGAAGATCAAGGCAAAGAAGGCATTATATTGATTAATCCTTTTTAGTGATGAGTGTCATCTTGTTGATTTAATTCATTTCTGTTGTTATTTATTGACCTTGTTTATTGTTTTCACTGTTCGAAGGAAGGAAGATGCATCGTCTAAGTCAGGGACCCTCAAACTTTTTAAACAGAGGGCCAGGTCACAGTCCCTCAAACTCTTGGAGGGCCGGATAATAATTTGAAAAAACCCCACGAATGAATGCACTTAAAAACAATACAATAATTATAACAAAGAACAATTTTAGCAAATATAAACTTATTAGTATTTCAGTGGTAAGTGTGTGCCTGCTTTTAGCTGATGAGATAGGATTGTTGTTGTTCTTGTTGTTGTGTGCTTTCAAGTCATTTCAGACTGAGGTTGACCCTGAGCGAGGGCCGGGCAAATGCCCTTGGAGGGCCGCATCTGGCCCCCGGGGCTTACTTTGAGGACCCCTGGTTGAAGTAAACCCAGCTGGCCCCTCCCTCCCTGCCTGCCTCCTCATGGGACCCCCACCCCCAGACATGGAAACACGGCGTGCCCCCATCTCTCAGCCTTCTTTCCCCAAAAGAGAGAGGATCCTCTCCAGCTCCTCCTCGGGCTCTTCTTCAGGGGGATTCCTGGTCTCCATAGCCTTTGACGCTTTGGGTGGCTCTCCTCTGTCCCCTCCCTCCCTCCCTCCCTCCATGTGTGGGGGAGGGGACATAGTGGCCTGGGGGGGATTCCAGGGAAGAGAGACGAAGAGGAGGAGAATTTTATTTATTTGTCGTGTCAGAGCAACCAGTCCATTATATTACATTTCTAACAGAACAAAGTAAATAAACAGACAAGATACAAAAGTACAAAATACAAAATGTGTAAGTTTGATAGTTGATTAGATGTCCTTTGACCAGTACCTGGCCACTTGGAGTGCTTCTGGTGTTGCTGCAAGAAGGTCCCTGTGCAGAAGTCATTGTTATTATGTTTGTGTTTAACTGTTAGAGTATGTATTTGTGTTTGTAACAGTAGCTAAAACTGGAGTCATCTGGTTTGAATCCACAGTGAGCGTTGCCAAGGAGACAAGGCTGGCTAGCTCACGAGAGGGAGGAGTGGGCGGAGCCAAGCAGGAAAAGTTGGGCGTTTTTTTAAAAAAGGCCTGAGAGAGAGACTTGTGGGTGAGCGGCTGGTGTTTTATCAGTCTAGGAGGGCTGAAGAAAGAAACCTGGCCAGATTCTTCAGTCAAAGAAGACTAAAGGCAGCCTAGTTAAGATCCCTAGTTAAGGAAGGACTAGTGATCAGAGATTTGATCGAGGGAAGATCAAACTGAAAGGCTATTTATAGTAGTGAAACATTGTTCACTAGAGAGCTTCACCTCAGTGAAAGTTAGCCACAAGCTGTGTTATCTGGAAGAGTGGACTGTATTATAAACCACGTGATATTCAAAGTTCCATAAGTTATTTAACAGCCTGCAACCATAAGCTTTGTACACAATAAGCTTTGTACACAATAGTTATCTTTTTTTGAAAACCATCTCACCTCAACTAATCTGCGTCAGTAGAGCCAGATCTCATCGGTGGTACCTCAAATACCTCACGTTGGTGGCAGTTACCTTAATTTACTAATAATAATTGGCCTCCTCCATAATATACTCTTCTACACAATTGAGGCCTGAGGTGAATTCCCTCCATAACATCCACATCTGTACAATTGGTGGCAGCGGTGAGATTAAAAAGTGCCTGAGGTAAAATACCTCCATTAGTAGGGCCTGCCGTTGCCAACCTCAGCAACACACAAGCACCTCCTCGCAATTGGTGATAGCGGTGGGGATCTTCAAGGATAAAATCCCTATACCCTGTCCATCGTGGAGGGCACATCTTCCCAGTCTCCCATTGAGCATCATGTGGCAGAAGGGCTCCGGTTGCATTGCAGCAGGTGGTCAGTGGTTTGCTCTTCT